CTCGGGACATCATGAAGTCCCCGGTTGGAGACCTGGCCCCGACCGACGGCGAGGAGGGCTCAGACCGCAAGCCGCTCCTGCAGCGCGCTCCGCGGGCGGAAGCCGGTGAGCAGCGGCGCGAACGGTGGCTTTCGGGCGGGTGGCGGTCGCAGGGTAGGGGTGGGCAGAGCTGCTTAGGTGCGAAGGGACTCGAGGACTGGAAGCCCATTCAGGGTCCCCTCAGCCTCGCCTGCTCGGGTGCCTCGGGACCCGCTCTGGGGTCCAGGGGGCGGGCGGGACCGTGAGGCCTGGTGTGGCCGGGTGGACGCTCAGACGGGACCTCGGCAGGTGCAGCCCGGAGTCCTTGGCAGGTGCAGCCCCTGGGACTCCGGCAGGTGTAGCCCCCGAGGCCCAGCAGGTGCAGCCACGGGGCCCGGCAGATGCAGCCCGCGGGCCCAGGCGGGGAGCTGCTGGGCGCTGCCAGCCCTGGGCCCCCGGCGGTTTTCGGTAGTATGGAGCGGGAGACCCTGTGGAAGGGCCGACTCGGGGGGAAACCTGCGGCTGAAGGGTAGAGGGCGGGGCGGAGCCATAGTCCTTCCCTCCCGGTCGCTGCCCGGTTGCTGTCACAGCTGCTCGTCCTCCAGCATGTGACCTGGTCGCCAGCTCCCTGGGCGTGGAAGGGAGACAGAAGCGGTCTGAGGTTAAGGTTTGTGAGTATGCGGAGGGAAATTATTGGATAACCCAGCGAATACCTTGAAATTGTGCAGTAAGATATTAAAAGTACTGCACACATTTTTTTCCATCGTAGAATAGCTGTCTACGATTACGTCGTAGCAGTCTACAATTAAAGTTAGGAAATAGTTTGGTTATCCTCAGGATGGGATCTCTGTAGCTGTCTAAGGTAATTTGCCCAAGTCTTGCAACAAATAGAAAAGGAGGTACTTACAACGCATCTTCCTAGAATTTGGGGAAATTAAAATATTGCTGTCTGATCCTTTTGTGATGGAACTTTTTAAAAAGAAATTAGAACCAAAGAATAAATCACTTTGCATGCATTCTATAGTTTCAAAGATGTGTACATGAGAAACAGAGTTGAATTAGAAATTTGACTTTTCCTGACCAAAACCAGTATAGTCCTGTTATCTTTTAAATTTGTTTTTTAATATTACAGTGGTGGTGGTGGTGGTGGCAACATTATAGCTCCATATGGCAGCTGGGAGCTTATTTTTGTGGATCTCACTGTAAACACTGTACCATGGTGACGTTTTATCTGGAAGTCAGATTTAGTTCCATAAACTGACCTTTTCCTGTGACATGTGTGTTAGACTTCATAGCCATCTTCTGTAAAGTAACCTAGTGTAGAAATACAGAAACAAATACCGTAAGAAAGACTAGAAATTACTATATTCTGTTGCAATTAGGGAAAAATACATAAATATAATCAAATTTTAGCTTAAATGTTAAACATCATTAGTTGTCAGAAAAGTGCAGATTAAAACTGCAGTGAGCCATTACAAACTTACTAGAATGGCTAAAATTTAAAAGGCTGAAGATGCCAAATGTTGGCAAACATATGGAGTAACTAGAACTCTCATATTTTGCTCATGAGAGTGTGAAATGGTACAACTTCTTTGGAAAACTGGCAATTTACATTATAGGTAAACATATATTACCATAATACCACAATGTTTATAGCAGCTTTATTCATAATAGTGAAAAAAAATGAACTGGAAACAACTTATCCATCAGTTCATCAGCAGGTGAATGGATAAACAAATTGTAGTGTATCTACACATAGTCAGTGATAAAAAGAAACTGCTGGGGGTGGAGGGTATACCTCAGTGGTAGAGCACATGCTTAGCAAGCAGGACGGTCTTGGGTTCAACCACCAATACCTCCATTAAAATACATACATACACACATATATACATAAACCTAATCCCCACCCCGCAAAAACCACCCACAAAACGAACAGACAAAAAAGAAACTGCTGATACACATAACAACATGGGTGAATCTCAGATACAGGCTGAGCAAAAGAAACCACCGTATTGCTGTATGATTCCATCAGAATGAAGTCCTAAACGAGTAAAACTTACCTGTAGTAACAGGAAGCAGATCAGTTGTTGCCTGGAAGCTACAGAGGGGCACTGGCTACTTTTTGGGGTGATGAGAAAGTTCTGCATCTTGATTAGGGTGCACAGATGTATACATTTGTCAAGGTTCACTGAACTGTACACTTGAAATAAGTGCATTTTATTGCAGGTACAATATACTTCAGTAAAGCAGACTGAAAAAAAAATTAACTCATTCCTTTTTAAAACAATCCCTGCCTGATTCATGGGTTGAGTGTATAGATCTTAGCCCTATTCCCTGTGATTTGAGGTGGCTGTCTTCATTGTAACCATTTCCCTTCTTAGTTTTGCTCTTTGTATACCCACTGGTGAGCAGAAGTGAAGAAAAGATGGCAGCAACACATTTTTGTTTTTTGCTATTTGAAATATGATAAAGATTTTAGAGAAGAGGAACCTATAGTTATAGGGTATTCCATTAGTGAACAATATTTTCTCTTTTTTATTGAAGTACAGTTTACAATGCTGTGTCAATTTCTGGTGTACAGCGTAATGTTTCAGTCATACATACACATACATATATTCCTTTTCATATTCTTTTTCATTGTAGGTTACTACAAGATATTGAATATAGTTCCCTGTGCTATACAGAGAAAACTTGTTTATCTATTTTATATATAGTGTTAGTATCTGCAAATCTCCAACTCCCAATGTATCCCTTCCTACGCCCTTCCCCTCAACAATATTTTAAATTAAGCTCTGTGTCTAGGGTCCTGTGGGCAGGGGAACAAGAGAGGAACACTGGGAAAAGAGATGGAAAAGACAAAAGATGGGTTATAACAGCTTTATTTATAAGAGGCACCAGGGGTTAACTCATTTGCTCTCAGTGATAATATCTACCATGTACATCTAATAGGAGAAACAAGATGACCCTTAGTTATATTTTTAATTTAAATTCTGTACGTTTATTTAGCACATTTCAGAAAGTGTGAGTGTTAAAAAAAAAAAACACTTTCTATCTAGAATTAGTTTTTTCAAGTTTTGGTTCTGAAGGAGTAAATCTTTACCAGACGTTAAAACTTCTCTTTCCGAGTGTTTGTATATGTTTTATTTATCTTTTATGTTTGTTTCTGAAACAAACCCATATGAAATTAGCTGTACCTTAGCCATGCCTGTGTGTATAGTTTTGTTTTTTAGTAGAGAAAAGCTGATAAAATGTCGGTCATAAAATTTTACAGCCGTTAAAAGGCCTTAGAGACTAACTACCATCCGGTGGGCATCATTTTATATGTAAACAACTTAGAGCCAAAGAGGTTAAGTTCCCAAAGATTGCTGTAGCCACCTTAAGACCCAGCCAGCATTCTTTTGGATTTTAGCCACATCCTCCTTCCTGGTCACAGCACTGCCATGTCTGCATTCCATTTGAGAAATTCCCATTTACAAAATGCTTCTTCACTTTTGCTGAATCCTTCACAAATTTGAAAGTTCCCCACTCCATCAGGAATAAGAGGATGTTGCTTTACATTATGTGTAGTGCTACTTATAAGAGAGCTGATTTTTATTTATTCATTTATTCATTCATTCAAATTGAAGTCTAGTCAGTTACAATACTGTGTCAATTTCTGGTGCACAGCATCATGTTTCAGTCATACATGTACATCTATATATTCCTTTTCATATTCTTCCTCATTATAGGTTACTACAAAAGACTGAATATAGCTCCCTGTGCTATACAGAAGAAACTTGTTGTTTATCTATTTTATATATAGTAACGTGTATTTGTAAATCTCAAACTCCCAATTTATCCCTTCCCACACTCTTACCCCTTTGGTAACCATAAGTTTGTCTTCTATGTCTGTGAGTCTGTTTCTGTTTTATAAATAAATTCATTTGTATGCTTTTTTAAAAAAATATTCCACATATAAGTGATACCATATGGTATTTTTTTTCTCTGTATGACTCACTTCACTTAGTACAAAAATCTCCCTGTCCATCCATGTTGCTGCAAATGGCATTATTTTATTCTCTTTTATGGCTATATATATAGACCACAACTTCTTTATCCAGTCTTCTGTCAGTGGACATTTAGGTTTCCATGTCTTGGCTATTGTAAACAGTGCTGCTGTGAACATGTAGCTTTTGAATTAGAGTTTTCTCCAGATACATGCCCAGGAATGGGATTGCTGGATCATAGGGTGTCTATTTTTAGTTTTTTTGAGGAGTCTCCATACTGTTTTCCATAATGGCTGCACCAAACTACATTCCCACCAATGGAAGAACTAATTCCAGGTCCATCCATGTTGCTGCAAATGGCATTATTTTATTCTTTTCTATGGCTGAGTAGTATTCCGTTGTATATATAGACCACAACCAAGTTTCTGTGGTGTTAAGAATGAATACCTCTCAGATGGATGGAATATGACAAAATTCTCAATCATGGGACACTGGTTAGCCTCTGAAGCATTTGCTTTACTTTGCCAGGTGGATTTAGGAGATGCCCACCATTGTGATGGGGTAAGAGTGGCTCAGTGCTGATAAACCACAGGAAGTTATAGATTTTTCTGCCTGATTTAGGGAAGAGGAAGGGAGGGGATTGGGCAAAGAGCAAAGCTTCCTTCCCACACATAAAAACTCTTCACTCCCAATAAAAACCAAACAGAAACAAAACAAACAAACAAGAACTCTTCGCTCCTTACACCTCCCACCCAGGGAAGGTTTATTAGTTTTGTATGAATGAGGTGTGGATGGAATTTCAAAGTACCAAAAATGTGCTCCTTCACATTAGGAGAAAGCAGCTTTGGGGCTCCTAAGACATTTCTTCATGTTTAAAGGCAGAACATTAAAAAATTAAATTAGATTAGATTAAAATTAAAGGCAGAGCATGAATCTGGAGATGGGCTGTCTAGTTGCCAACCCTAGTTCCACTAACTCACTGCATGAGGTTTAGCAATTAGCTAGCCTAACCTACCCTGTGAGTCAGGGAGAATACTGCACCTGCTTCATGGGTTACTGTGAAAGTGCTTGGGCTGGGGCTTGGCACATAATGAGTGTTCC